CACTGCTGGCATGCTCTGGTAGCGGAAGACGATTCGGGAGGACAAGGTTGCCGGTCCCCGAAAAGAGGCAGTACATGTGGATGTCTGAACCGCTCCTATGCCAGCAACCTTGTCGTTCACACTGTAAGGGGTAGTGCGAGCAGATGAGCGTTTTCGCTTGGATGATCCAGTAATTGGTGTAGCGCTCCTTTCTTTTCGCAAGTTCCTACAACAGCGTCGTACGGGTCTGTAACATGATTTCCCGCTCACCATGCTTGCATTCACTCACAAATATGTCTCGTGAACCAGGGAGTCAACGATGAGACAAGAAGGAGGGCTAAGCGAGCTCATCTATGAAAGCACGGCTGCAATATTTACGGGCGCTGGGCGTGCTCTTCCCACTGCGCCGTGCTGTGAGGGTGCATCTCACATGATGCGCCGAGAGACCCGATACTTCAGCGACAGTGGCGGTTCTTAGCACGTGTTTCCCACCTGCCTGCCTGCAATCGTCTATTCGCTGGTCACAGAAAGCGTCATTTGCTGGTCACAGAAAGCTGTTCTTGTTCGCCTTGGGCCTTCTGCCATGAATTTAGTTGCCCTTTATCAAGCTGACACTCGTGTTTCTCGCTCAAGCGATGGGCTGCTCGATCCCGAGCACCTTCGATGCCCGCAACCGTCTCCGTACTTTGTACACGGTTCCTACTAATCACCGATTTCAAACCATCGCTCTCGCGTTTTCATTCGTACCGACTTTGCGGATGCACGTACACCATCAGTCCGCGGCGGTTTCGCGAGTATCACGACTTCCGAATGGACCCCGATGAAACGAACAGCTGGGCGCCTATGATAATGTGAAACGGTCGTCAACCCGCGACTGATCGAGGCAGGAAATGAATACATTTGTGTCAATCGACCCCACGAATGGACTGCGGCTTGAGAAGTATGTCGAGTGTGCGTCGGAATGCAGGAACACGGCACCGAATATAAATGTCAGAAATGCTCTAGTGATGCTGAGTAGCTTTTACTCGCTGTGCAGTCAGTGGTCGTACGGTCTTCGACGAAGCACGTTGGTTAGCCACAATCCAGCCGGCGAGCCGACTTCTTTAAAATCAACTGTCTCCAACCACAAAGTTCACCAAAGGATGTCAAGACGATGTTGTGTAGTCAAAAGATGTCTCCTTGCTGATGAAGAGTATGACGTCCGGGTTGGTTCTTGATTTTGATGGTCTGCAAGAAGGCTGAAAGGCTGAGACATCGCAACTTGCAACCAACAGGCCAGCAAAAGTCGCATTCGCCTGTCCAGGTCGTTGCCGACTTCCTGACCTTCAACAAGCATGCGTTTTCTTCGGCAAGTACGTCGTGTGTGGATAGAAGTTCGTCTTTTTCAGCGACGAAACGGCTTATAGCTCGATCCATTCGATTCAAGCCCGTCCGAAGGTATGTCGCTTCGCTTTGTCATTCTGCAACTTACCAAGTTCTTCCCAGTCTCCCACACCTTCACACTATCCGTCCAAGATGAACCTCCTCATTTGCCTCGTGCTCACTGCTGTCGCTACGACGACCACCTACGGACAAGCACCGGCAGGTGCTGCTGCACGGTCTAACGAACTTCTCGATGGCCTCAAATTACTTTCAGATCTCGTCACGGATAAGGACAGCAAAGTCGTATACGGACACCACCATGTGCGGGGCGATTAGGCCTTCGGCCAAGCTCTTCGTTCGACCACGAGGAATCATCCCACCAAGACCGGTGTGACCGAGATCGTGGTGGGCGGAGCACATTTTGAGAAACAAGCTCAAGCCTCGTCCCAAAAACCTGTTCTACAGGGCGACTCTCTCTCTTTTGTTGAAACGATCCGAGACAGAGACGCACACGTGTAGGCTAGTAAAAGGGTAACGCGACATCAATGTAGCCCACTTTCGAATTCCGTTCTGCCATCAATATCTCTTATGCTGCATTCATCTCGCATCACAATGCATCCTGTAGACTTCGTGTGCCAGCCTCCTACGATACGCACCTCGACCTCATCTATTCTTGCACGTACACGGGTTCCTTCTCCACATTTCGGTACTGTACAGAGTATAGATAGCGCAATTATGAGCACTGGGCGGCAGCGTAAGTTCTGTGCCAAGTTTGCGACAAGCAGTGCGGACAGTATCCGCACATTCTGTTTGACACCAGCTGATACCATTGTTCCCCCGGATCATTGCCTTCATCCGCGTGAACATCATTCGTGATGGGGTTCATGGATCTGCTTGGTGCATCACGGCATAACAACGAGAATATCACAAATGGGCACGCTTCGTTGGTCGTGCTGCTTGAAGAGTGCGAAGTAAGTAGAGTCTCTTTCTATCCCTCATTCTATCCGGAAAACAACGAGTGCCAGCTTGTAGCGCGCGTCTGCGTAGTTGAAGCTGTCACAGCGTTGCGTGAAGATGATGAAAACGGATCTCGTCAGTCTCGCGATACTGGAAGCCGCTCACTGCTTGCACGTTGATGTGTGACGTCACCGCTCTTCGTCATGTACTCCCTATTGTTGTCGCTGACAGCCTGGCTTCTCGAGTTTCTGTCACCATGCCACCGAAATCGGCGAGATCGATGGCCCCTTCTAGTCTGCTCGCTGTACTATTTACAGGACACGCACGGGGTGGGGTGTCTGGGACATCACTAATACGTGCAGGTCTGTCCGTAACCAACCCGGACATGTCGAACATGCGTATGTGAGCTCGAAAAGGGTTCATTTGTAGTCTGCGTGCTCGTTGTTGCTGCAAAAAGAAAACGGCGATGGCCCCCGGATATGATGACGTGTCCCCGACGACGTCTCGCGAAGCTCTGAAAGAACAAACAGTAGACTATGAACAGCCACTAACATGACATCAATGGTGTGGCAAAACTGGAGTCATGGACGGAGCTGATGGGTGGAGCTGATGGACGCATCTGTTGCACTGCTGGCATGCTCTGGTAGCGGAAGACGATTCGGGAGGACAAGGTTGCCGGTCCCCGAAAAGAGGCAGTACATGTGGATGTCTGAACCGCTCCTATGCCAGCAAACTTGTCGTTCACACTGTAAGGGGTAGTGCGAGCAGATGAGCGTTTTCGCTTGGATGATCCAGTAATTGGTGTAGCGCTCCTTTCTTTTCGCAAGTTCCTACAACAGCGTCGTACGGGTCTGTAACATGATTTCCCGCTCACCATGCTTGCATTCACTCACAAATATGTCTCGTGAACCAGGGAGTCAACGATGAGACAAGAAGGAGGGCTAAGCGAGCTCATATATGAAAGCACGGCTGAAATATTTACGGGCGCTGGGCGTGCTCTTCCCACTGCGCCTTGCTGTGAGGGTGCATCTCACATGATGCGCCGAGAGACCCGATACTTCAGCGACAGTGGCGGTTCTTAGCACGTGTTTCCCACCTGCCTGCCTGCAATCCTCTATTCGCTGGTCACAGAAAGCGTCATTTTCTGGTCACTGAAAGCTGTTCTTGTTCGCCTTGGGCCTTCTGCCATGAATCGATCTACCCTTCCTCAAGCTGACACTCTGTTTCTCGCTCAAGCGATGGGCTGCTCGATCCTGAGCACCTTCGATGCCCGCAACCGTCTCCGTACTTTGTACACGATTCCTACTGATCACCGATTTCAAACCACCGCTCTCGCGTTTTCATTCGTACCGACTTTGTGGATGCACATACACCATGAGTCCGCGGCTTTTTCGCGAGTATCACGACTTCCGAATGGACCCCGATGAAACGAACAGCTGGGCGCCTATGATAATGTGAAACGGTCGTCAACCCGCGACTGATCGAGGCAGGAAATGAATACATTTGTGTCAATCGACCCCACGAATGGACTGCGGCTTGAAAAGTATGTCGAGTGTGCGTCGGAATGCAGGAACACGGCACCGAATATAAATGTCAGAAATGCTCTAGTGATGCTGAGTAGCTTTTACTCGCTGTGCAGTCAGTGGTCGTACGGTCTTCGACGAAGCACGTTGGTTAGCCACAATCCAGCCGGCGAGCCGACTTCTATAAAATCAACCTGTCTCCAACCACAAAGTTCACCAAAGGATGTCAAGACGATGTTGTAGTCAAAAGATGTCTCCTTGCTGATGAAGAGTATGACGTCCGGGTTGGTTCTTGATTTTGATGGTCTGCAAGAAGGCTGAAAGGCTGAGACATCGCAACTTGCAACCAACAGGCCAGCAAAAGTCGCATTCGCCTGTCCAGGTCGTTGCCGACTTCCTGACCTTCAACAAGCATGCGTTTTCTTCGGCAAGTACGTCGTGTGTGGATAGAAGTTCGCCTTTTTCAGCGACGAAACGGCTCATAGCTCGTTGATCCATTCGATTCAAGCCCGTCCGAAGGTATGTCGCTTCGCTTTGTCATTCTGCAACTTACCAAGTTCTTCCCAGTCTCCCACACCTTCACACTATCCGTCCAAGATGAACCTCCTCATTTGCCTCGTGCTCACTGCTGTCGCTACGACGACCACCTACGGACAAGCACCGGCAGGTGCTGCTGCACGGTCTAACGAACTTCTCGATGGCCTCAAATTACTTTCAGATCTCGTCACGGATAAGGACAGCAAAGTCGTATACGGACACCACCATGTGCGGGGCGATTAGGCCTTCGGCCAAGCTCTTCGTTCGACCACGAGGAATCATCCCACCAAGACCGGTGTGACCGAAATCGTGGTGGGCGGAGCACGCTTTGAGAAACAAGCTCAAGCCTCGTCCCAAAAACCTGTTCTACAGGGCGACTGTCTCTCTTTTGTTGAAACAATTCGAGTCAGAGACGCACACGTGTAGGCTAGTAAAAGGGTAACGCGACATCAATGTAGCTCACTTTCGAATTCCGTCCTGCCATCAATATCTCTTATGCTGCATTCATCTCGCATCACAATGCATCCTGTAGACTTCGTGTGCCAGCCTCCTACGATACGCACCTCGACCTCATCTATTCTTGCACGTACACGGGTTCCTTCTCCACATTTCGGTACTGTACAGAGTATAGATAGCGCAATTATGAGCACTGGGCGGCAGCGCAAGTTCTGTGCCAAGTTTGCGACAAGCAGTGCGGACAGTATCCGCACATTCTGTTTGACACCAGCTGATACCATTGTCCGCCGGATCATTGCCTTCATCCGCGTGAACATCATTCGTGATGGGGTTCATGGATCTGCTTGGTGCATCACGGCATAACAACGAGAATATCACAAATGGGCACGCTTCGTTGGTCGTGCTGCTTGAAGAGTGCGAAGTAAGTAGAGTCTCTTTCTATCCCTCATTCTATCCGGAAAACAACGAGTGCCAGCTTGTAGCGCGCGTCTGCGTAGTTGAAGCTGTCACAGCGTTGCGTGAAGATGATGAAAACGGATCTCGTCAGTCTCGCGATACTGGAAGCCGCTCACTGCTTGCACGTTGATGTGTGACGTCACCGCTCTTCGTCATGTACTCCCTATTGTTGTCGCTGACAGCCTGGCTTCTCGAGTTTCTGTCACAATGCCACCGAAATCGGCGAAATCGATGGCACCATCTAACCTCCTCGCTGTACTATTTACAGGACACGCACGGGGTGGGGTGTCTGGGACATCACTAATACGTGCAGGTTTGTCCGTTACCAACCCGGACATGTCGAACATGCGTATGTGAGCTCGAAAAGGGTTCATTTGTAGTCTGCGTGCTCGTTGTTGCTGCAAAAAGAAAACGGCGATGGCCTCCGGATATGATGACGTGTCCCCGACGACGTCTCGCGAAGCTCTGAAAGAACAAACAGTAGACTATGAACAGCCACTAACATGACATCAATGGTGTGGCAAAACTGGAGTCATGGACGGAGCTGATGGGTGGAGCTGATGGACGCATCTGTTGCACTGCTGGCATGCTCTGGTAGCGGAAGACGATTCGGGAGGACAAGGTTGCCGGTCCCCGAAAAGAGGCAGTACATGTGGATGTCTGAACCGCTCCTATGCCAGCAACCTTGTCGTTCACACTGTAAGGGGTAGTGCGAGCAGATGAGCGTTTTCGCTTGGACGATCCATTAATTGGTGTAGCGCTCCTTTCTTTTCGCAAGTTCCTACAACAGCGTCGTACGGGTCTGTAACATGATTTCCCGCTCACCATGCTTGCATTCACTCACAAATATGTCTCGTGAACCAGGGAGTCAACGATGAGACAAGAAGGAGGGCTAAGCGAGCTCATATATGAAAGCACGGCTGAAATATTTACGGGCGCTGGGCGTGCTCTTCCCACTGCGCCGTGCTGTGAGGGTGCATCTCACATGATGCGCCGAGAGACCCGATACTTCAGCGACAGTGGCGGTTCTTAGCACGTGTTTCCCACCTGCCTGCCTGCAATCGTCTATTCGCTGGTCACAGAAAGCGTCATTTGCTGGTCACAGAAAGCTGTTCTTGTTCGCCTTGGGCCTTCTGCCATGAATCGATCTACCCTTCCTCAAGCTGACACTCTGTTTCTCGCTCAAGCGATGGGCTGCTCGATCCTGAGCACCTTCGATGCCCGCAACCGTCTCCGTACTTTGTACACGATTCCTACTGATCACCGATTTCAAACCACCGCTCTCGCGTTTTCATTCGTACCGACTTTGTGGATGCACGTACACCATCAGTCCGCGGCGGTTTCGCGGGTATCACGACTTCCGAATGGACCCCCATGAAACGAACAGCTGGGCGCCTATGATAATGTGAAACGGTCGTCAACCCGCGACTGATCGAGGCAGGAAATGAATACATTTGTGTCAATCGACCCCACGAATGGACTGCGGCTTGAAAAGTATGTCGAGTGTGCGTCGGAATGCAGGAACACGGCACCGAATATAAATGTCAGAAATGCTCTAGTGATGCTGAGTAGCTTTTACTCGCTGTGCAGTCAGTGGTCGTACGGTCTTCGACGAAGCACGTTGGTTAGCCACAATCCAGCCGGCGAGCCGACTTCTTTAAAATCAACCTGTCTCCAACCACAAAGTTCACCAAAGGATGTCAAGACGATGTTGTAGTCAAAAGATGTCTCCTTGCTGATGAAGAGTATGACGTCCGGGTTGGTTCTTGATTTTGATGGTCTGCAAGAAGGCTGAAAGGCTGAGACATCGCAACTTGCAACCAACAGGCCAGCAAAAGTCGCATTCGCCTGTCCAGGTCGTTGCCGACTTCCTGACCTTCAACAAGCATGCGTTTTCTTCAGCAAGTACGTCGTGTGTGGATAGAAGTTCGTCTTTTTCAGCGACGAAACGGCTTATAGCTCGATCCATTCGATTCAAGCCCGTCCGAAGGTATGTCGCTTCGCTTTGTCATTCTGCAACTTACCAAGTTCTTCCCAGTCTCCCACACCTTCACACTATCCGTCCAAGATGAACCTCCTCATTTGTCTCGTGCTCACTGCTGTCGCTACGACGACCACCTACGGACAAGCTCCGGCAGGTGCTGCTGCAGGTGCTGCTGCACGGTCTAACGAACTTCTCGATGGCCTCAAATTACTTTCAGATCTCGTCACGGATAAGGACAGCAAAGTCGTATACGGACACCACCATGTGCGGGGCGATTAGGCCTTCGGCCAAGCTCTTCGTTCGACCACGAGGAATCATCCCACCAAGACTGGTGTGACCGAGATCGTGGTGGGCGGAGCACATTTTGAGAAACAAGCTCAAGCTGAGTCCCAAAAACCTGTTCTACAGGGCGACTCTCTCTCTTTTGTTGAAACGATCCGAGACAGAGACGCACACGTGTAGGCTAGTAAAAGGGTAACGCGACATCAATGTAGCCCACTTTCGAATTCCGTTCTGCTATCAATATCTCTTATGCTGCATTCATCTCGCATCAAAATGCATTCTGTAGACTTCGTGTGCCAGCCTCCTACGATACGCACCTCGACCTCCTCTATCCTTGCACGTACACGGGTTCCTTCTCCACATTTCGGTACTGTACAGAGTATCGATAGCGCAATTGTGAGCACTGGGCGGCAGCGTAAGTTCTGTGCCAAGTTTGCGACAAGCAGTGCGGACAGTATCCGCACATTCTGTTTGACACCAGCTGATACCATTGTTTCCCGGATCATTGCCTTCATCCGCGTGAACATCATTCGTGATGGGGTTCATGGATCTGCTTGGTGCATCACGGCATAACAACGAGAATATCACAAATGGGCACGCTTCGTTGGTCGTGCTGCTTGAAGAGTGCGAAGTAAGTAGAGTCTCTTTCTATCCCTCATTCCATCCGGAAAACAACGAGTGCCAGCTTGTAGCGCGCGTCTGCGTAGTTGAAGCTGTCACAGCGTTGCGTGAAGATGATGAAAACGGATATCGTCAGTCTCGCGATACTGGAAGCCGCTCACGACTTGCACGTTGATGTGTGACGTCACCGCTCTTCGTCATGTACTCCCTATTGTTGTCGCTGACAGCCTGGCTTCTCGAGTTTCTGTCACCATGCCACCGAAATCGGCGAGATCGATGGCCCCATCTAATCTCCTCGCTGTACTATTTACAGGACACGCACGGGGTGGGGTGTCTGGGACGTCACTAATGCGTGCAGGTTTGCCCGTGACCAACCCGGACATGTCGAACATGCGTATGTGAGCTCGAAAAGGGTTCATTTGTAGTCTGCGTGTTCGTTGTTGCTACAGAAAGAAAACGGCGATGGCCCCCGGATGACGACGTGTTCCCGACGACGTCTCGCGAAGCTCTGAAAGAACAAACAGTAGACTATGAACGAGCTACCAACATGACATCAATGGTGTGGCAAAACTGGAGTCATGGACGGAGCTGATGGGCGGAGCTGATGGACGCATCTGTTGCACTGCTGGCATGCTCTGGTAGCGGAAGACGATTCGGGAGGACAAGGTTGCCGGTCCCCGAAAAGAGGCAGTACATGTGGATGTCTGAACCGCTCCTATGCCAGCAACCTTGTCGTTCACACTGTAAGGGGTAGTGCGAGCAGATGAGGGTTTTCGCTTGGACGATCCAGCAATCGGTGTAGCGCTCCTTTCTTTTCGCAAGTTCCTACAACAGCATCGTACGGGTCTGTAACTTGATTTCCCGCTCGCCATGCTTGCATTCACTCACAAATATGTCTCGTGAACCGGGGAGTCAACGGTGAGACGAGAAGGAGGGGTAAGCGAGCTCATCTATGAAAGCACGGCTGAAATATTTACCGGCGCTGGGCGTGCTCTTCCCACTGCGCCGTGCTGTGAGGGTGCATCTCACATGATGCGCCGAGAGACCCGATACTTCAGCGACAGTGGCGGTTCTTAGCACGTGTTTCCCACCTGCCTGCATGAAATCGTCTATTCGCTGGTCACAGAAAGCGTCCTTTGCTGGTCACAGAAAGCTGTTCTTGTTCGCCTTGGGCCTTCTGCCATGAATTTAGTTGCCCTTTATTAAGCTGACACTCGTGTTTCTCGCTCAAGCGATGGGCTGCTCGATCCCGAGCACCTCCGATGCCCGCAACCGTCTCCGTACTTTGTACACGGTTCCTACTAATCACCGATTTCAAACCATCGCTCTCGCGTTTTCATTCGTACCGACCTTGCGGATGCGCATACAGCATCAGTCCGCGGCGGTTTCGCGAGTATCACGACTTCCGAATGGATCCCGATGAAACGAACAGCTGGGCGCCTATGACAATGTGAAACGGTAGTCAACCCGCGACTGGTCGAGGCAGGAAATGAATTCATTTGTGTAGATCGACCCCACGAATGGACTGCGGCTTGAAAAGTATGTCGAGTGTGCGTCGGAATGCAGGAACACGGCACCGAATATAAATGTCAGAAATGCTCTAGTGATGCTGAGTAGCTTTTACTCGCTGTGCAGTGGTCGTACGGTCTTCGACGAAGCACGTTGGTTAGCCACAATCCAGCCGGCGAGCCGACTGCTATAAAATCAACCTGTCTCCAACCACAAAGTTCACCAAAGGATGTCAAGACGATGTTGCAGTCAAAAGATGTCTCCTTGCTGATGGAGAGTATGACGTCCGGGTTGGTTCTTGATTTTGATGGTCTGCAAGAAGGCTGAAAGGCTGAGACATCGCAACTTGCAACCAACAGGCCAGCAAAAGTCGCATTCGCCTGTCCAGGTCGTTGCCGACTTCCTGACCTTCAACAAGCATGCGTTTTCTTCAGCAAGTACGTCGTGTGTGGATAGAAGTTCGTTCAGCGATGAAACGGCTTATAGCTCGATCCATTCGATTCAAGCCCGT